CTCTGAGCCAGTGTCGACGACGAATCTCTGGTGTGACGATCTGTCATGTACATGCAGACGAGATCCTTGTTCAATATTACATGATGTCTGCTGTCGCCAACCGCCTCGAGTGATGACAACAGCTTCGCAAATTTCTTTAGTTGGTAGCAGGTTTGTATGTGCATCGGTGGACTCTCTCACCGAATTTGCTGTGAGAAGAATAAAGAACAGATGTAGTCGTGAATGTGATGTAACTGGGAATAAAAACCGCTGTTTGCGACGGCCTGGACATAGCTGGAAAAGCCTGAGTGCTGGTAGACATTACGTACTGGTCTTGCGTGCTGTTATACTGGACGGCCTTGAGATTTCTGCATACGATGTCAGGCAGCAGCGCCAACCACTTACTGCGAAGAAGCTCTTCTGAAGCTTTTTTGCCAGGCAGGTTCTTTATCTCCCTTAGAAGCTGGCTAGGCTTCCGATTCCCGAGTTCAAGCTCTGTCAACAGCTTGGGCAACTGGCGATCAACTGAATCCGTAAAACGTTTAATGAGATTGGTTTTTAAAGAGATATACTTATCTTGAGCTGGTGGTACCCTGATGATATCCTACAATTCCTTGAGTACTTCTGGCTTCAAAGCGCCGGCGACTGCCTCATGAATAGTATTGTCGTTCTTGAGATTTCGCGACCCTAACTGTGCCTCCACCTGAATGAACCAGAGCTCGTGGTCGTTGGTTCAGAATTCAGGGGGTCTGAGTTTTTTGACTGCCATAATTTGTGTATCGTTATTAGACTGGATGTTGCGATACTGATAGTGATTGTTAAAGTTGCCTTGTACCGGATTGAAATTAATGTTTGCACCGGATGGTCAGTTGCTGTGTCGCTGAAAAGCACGTGCTGAGCGTCTGCGAATAACAAAGAATTCCGTAGCAGTAAGTCGCTTAACCGCAGTTGTTGCTTCTCTGCTACGCTTTGGTCTTGTTGATTTTGCTCTTGGCGGACAGGTGAACGATCGAGAGTAATTTTTGTTGTACTTATAGTAGCATGTGAATACTATTGAGATTAGATTGATGCAATCTATAGAAATTACGTCGGGAGCACTAATTTTGCGTTAAAGCCTTATTACTCCAATGGTATCTAATGACTCTTATATGAAATACAATAATTTTTAAAATACGTTTTTAATTATATATATAATAGCGTGTGGTAGCGTAAGGAGTTTTCCAGAATAATAATTGTTCAGTGTCTTGAGAACCGTAACTTCAATTCAGCTTCAATTCAAATCGTAACCGCAATTCAGCTCAACAGCTGTAACTGTGCTGTGGTGGAATTTGTTGCAGGCGGAGTTGTCACATATCTCCAGTGCTACGAGTCATATTGCGCCATGCCGTTCAGTGTTGGAAAGATGAAATTTTAAGCTTCATTTAAAGTCGGGACATCTGAAAAAAATTACAGCTGCTCGAAAATGAGTGAGAATAATTGAGATATTCGCTATATTTTGAAATGTTTTAATAAAAAGGGAGGAATGCCACGCAAGCCACCAATGAAATTGTGAAGTTTGCGAGACGATGCTGTTCGTGTAGTTCGTGTAGCACAACAATAGCAATAATTGCTCGCTTCTGTTCTGGAAATTTCGATCTATCCTGATGAAAGTAGACTGATGGAATAATGTCTCTAGCGGAAAAATGGCAAAAACTGGTTTACCTAAATGGTACATATTTGATTATTTAGTTTTTAGTATAAAAAAAATAATAATAAGTTGAAGTTTGATCAAAAATTCGAAAGACTTTTCGGCTACCAATAGATAATTTCTAATGTTTTTTTCTGTAAAAGCAAATATATGAAGCAAATTGACGCAAAATTACAATTTCATACTCGTTGAGCCTTTCTTAGATGTCTCTATGACAAAATTTTTCAGAGTACAAAGCGGAAAATTAAGACAGTTTTTATAATAGTGGATTCTATAGGAGTATGCTCTGGTCTTGAAACCTTCTGTTAGTCGCCGAACTTCAAATTCCGCCTCACAGTTCCCTTATATCGAGGTTAAAGACGAGTGCTCTCAGAGAGAAGGAGTGCAAGTCGAGTAAAAAAGTTGATCGGCCTGAACCTATTTGGGGACCTTTCGTCGTAGAGGCTGAATTTACCAACTGTTGACCACCCTGGCTTTAAAGTCGTCAAGCACGATTTTGATATCGTAGTGGAGGCAGCTCTCATTGGTGTGCTCATAGAAGGCATCTTTGGTCATATCGTCTTTCTCTTCCGCTGGGGCGTGGCCGCAGATCAGCGATATGTTGAAGAACCTCGCAAGCCTCGATTGTGGCTAGATGTTCATTCACCGGAATGAATGATAGTACTCGGCGATGGAGTTTCACTCCCAACACGAATACTTGCGTTCCTTTTTTATGGACACTATAGTAAATATCACAAGGACTTAGTCGCCACAGTCGCATTTCTTTGACTACAGTGATGTCAGACTTTACTCTAACGAAGACAGCAACCGCAGTGGCACCTTCCCAATTAAGGGACCGGATATTCCATGTGCATGCCATCAAATCGTAATCCTTAATGCGCTTGCCATTGTCGTCATCATGCGAGTCTTGATCTTCTTTTTCATTGTGTGCGTTTTTTTACGTGGCGGGTCCCAATCCCAGCGCAGAACCCTGTTTAGGGGATGTTCCGCCTTCTCACTTTAGCCCGTAGGATACTTGGTCAAAACCCAGAAATCGTGACCTGCTTGAGATATATGTAAAAGAATATTCGAGCCATTTCGTTTCTGGCCACTCCGAAGTGAATGGAGATCATTTCCTCATTTGCGTGAACTTCTACACATGACTCCATCCTCCGTCAGCATATGCACACGTATAAATATATGGATACAATTTTATTTAATTTTTTTTTTTTTTTGGCTTCAGCTGCTGAATGTATTGTGTCTACATTTGAATATCTTGGCGAAAGCTGGATAATGGAGGAGAAAGTGTGTAGATGTTTATCTTCTTATCTTACTCTCTGCAACTTTGACAAGTTCCTTTCTTCAAAATCTATATCCTCAACGCATGAATGCCTATGGGAGTGTCATTGCGGCCAATTACATCTTGTAGTAGGTGTGAACCTTATTAGAGCCAGTAGTTTCATGAACCTTTTAAGTTTCACTCTGGAAAAGAAGGTTTTCGCAACCCCACTAGATCTGGTTGTCGACCAACGCTTGCTGAGCTCTTATTTTTCTTTGTTTGCAAATTCGTTTTCGAATATTGGTGATCATATAACATTTGATAATATGTTTAATATTAATATGCTTAATAATAATATTATAATGTTATGTTTACATATTAAATATATCTATTGTACATAAAAAAAATATATATATAAATTACGGATTTTTAATTATCGCAGCATATTTCTCTCTCGCCACATCTATAAGGTTGCCACCGTTCTGCATTCCTGTCCATTGTCGAATATTTCAAAGCCACGAAAGTTGTTTATGGCCAATACCCCGTTTTCCTTAAATTTTTCCTTGGATAATTATTTGTAAGAGCTCATACTTAGAGTGCCTCATAATATGTCCTAGTTAGGCTGCTTTTCTTTGCTTTATAGTCTTTAACAACCCTCTATTGCGGTTCCCTTTTCTCAAAACTTCTCTGTTTGTAACGCGATCTATCCATAGGATTTTTAGGATTCTTCTAATAAGCCATAATTCAAAGGACTCTAGCTTGTTTATATCTGTTATTTTTAGAGCATTGTATAACCCTACAAGTAACAAAAGAATCAGCTGTTTTCCAAGAATTTTTCACAGCTGAGATCACCTGATCGAAATCTGCCTTTTTTAGGCACAGCGATGTAATTAAAAGAAATTTTACTATTTGGCAATTACTATATTGCTTTTCTGAAGTGAAGAAAAAATCTTCTTCAGTAGTACCACCATCAAATCTTGCCAAGGGCATTAAACAATTATACTTTTTAAAATATTTATAGTACAAATTACCGCAAAAATACATAAAAGCATTTTTATGTAGAAAGCTGCTTTCATCTACGTTCACATTTACCTCGATTTTTATATTTTGAAATGAGGTAGAATTGGCAACTCTTCAAAGTTTCCCAAGAGGTATTTTGAACCAAAGCGTCGTTGCATGCGCTTTTGAGGGAGATATTAGAAAATTACTTACACTGGTCAACTGGCAAGARTTCGCAGTTCCCTTTATCTGCACAACGAATATATCCTATGCCCCAGGATTGTCTGAAAAGATATGAGAAACGCTGCGGAGTTATTCTCACATCAAATACATAGTTTTTACACAAATATTATATAAATATTTTTTTTATAAAATTGGAAACATTTAATAATAGATTGATACAATAATTAATATATTGGAAAAAACTGATTAAATTTAATATTTAGGAATTTAAATAATCGAAAAATATTTGAATATTTTATAAAAATATTGTTAAAGTTATAAATTTTAAAACCTAACACGGCAATACAATATAGCAGATTTGAGGCATTTGAACGTTTTAGTAATAGAATATTTGGGGGCAACCCGTACCAAGTGACTAATTAGTACCAGAATATTTGGGGGCAACCCGAACCAAGTGCCTAATTTGTAGTAGAATATATTGGGGCAACCCGTACCAAGTGCCTAATTTGTGATAGATTTTTGCGTATGTGTTAGTGAAAAATGAAGGATTGGTTACTTGTAGGTTTATACAATGTTTTAGAGTCCACGTTTCCATCGCATAGAGAAGCACTGCCCAAACATAGCAGTTTAAAAAACGTATTTTGGTTGTGATGTTCAGGTCATGGCTACATAATAGGGGTATTCTCTTGCTCTTGCAAGATTGCAGATTGCAAAAATATTATACCGAAATATACAAGGGTACAAGAGCACTCATTAAGGAATCTAGTGATATATGAAAGGCTAATTCGGTCAATTTATTGTGAATGACTGTTATGGAAAACTTTTGTGAATGGCTCTTTTAACGAATATTGTGATTGAATAAATAACAAAACAAATTACGAAAGATTTTTTGAAAATGCCACAAACTTCTGACAACAAAACAAAACTTGTTAATTTTTTAATTGAAGAAGGTGCTTCTAATATATTACTACATCTGAATGGTAATTGTTTATTTCACTTTTTTAAGCTTTAAAAAATTAAAAAATTTGAACTTTTTAGACGACGATAGCTATTGGAAAACTATGAATGACTTGGATGAAAGGCTTATCTTATCGAACCATCGCTTTAATTATCAAAATGTGTCTAAGTGTTTGGAATCTAAGACTAATGTTCTTGACTATTTAGACGATGGACATTACCAACAAATGCTCCGAGTCTCAGGAGATCAATTTACCTTGCTATTGTCCTTGATCAAAGACAGTGCACAGTTTAACAACGCTCAAACAATTAGGCAATTTTCAATAGAACCACAGTTACCTATAACCTTATATCGTTTGGGTTCATCGGGTGAAAGTGCGGCGATTCGGAAAGTAGCTCTCTTCACTCAGGAAGGCTCACATTTTTCCTCCTCTCAATGGCGTGCAGGAGATTCTGCTTATCCATTACTAATTACTCTTATCACGCCATTTCGAACAAATTCACAACAAATGGACTATTTAAAGCGTAAAGCATTCAACTTGCGCCATAGCAGATATTTCGTGAGGATTGAACATTGCTTTGGGATTCTAAAAGAATGCTTTGGCAGCCTCAAAGAATTAAGAATACGTATTCAGAACGTAAAAAGTCATATTCTATGTTCCAACTGGTTCATTGTTTGCTGTATATTGCATAACATCTTCCGAGCTACTTCTAACGATATTGAATATGTAGACAACATAGTTGTCGATAGCGACGAAGAATCAGATGAATTTCCTTCGTATGAAAATGGCTGACTAATTAGTAATATATGTATGTTATACATAGTGGTATTAGGTATACGAACTCTATTTTTGATGTAACTATTTATATAAGTGCATACTTACGAAACCTAAAGAAATAAGCTAAATACCATAATTAATCACAAATGTAATTTAGTATATTTAATTTATTTATTTTCATATTTTTTTCAATTTCGTACATAGCCACTCTTTCTTACATTTCTAATTCTAACATCTTGCATTTTTCCCATTTCCATTTTTTCCAATTCTATGTCTAATTTTTTTGACTCAATATCTAACTTTCTTTTCTAAATTTTCTTTTCCTCCTTGAATTTATACTCCAGTTGCTTCGTTTCCGTAGCAATTTGTTCTGCTTGGATAGCCGCCAATTATCCAACGGATGATTTCTGAGGCCGAATTGTGCGTTGGTATGTTGATACCAGTGTGGAGATTGGTGCAATCGAAGGTGCAGCATTTGATGGCGCAGCAGGTACACATTCTTCTTTTAAGAATTCTACTTCGAATTCTGGTGCAGGACTAACTGGACATAACTGAGGTGAAGGAAGGTTACTTTCACCCAGTAACGGTTGCATGACCGACAAACGCTTTCCAAATATTTCCCTCAGATGGTCGTAGTACGGACTCATTTTAGCAATTTTTGCTGAAATTAGTAAAAAATGTTTTATTTAAAATATCTGTATAATATTAACCTTCGATGGTTGTGCCGACAGCTTTTTCTTGTAGTCCAGCACCCGTTGACGCGAATCATTGGCTTTACGGTACTGCGCCTTCAAATGTCGGACCTTCCACCACACCAGATCCTATGAGACATCCAACTGCGATTTATGTAAAAGTCGTTTCTAAAACAATTGCGCAGTTGGAGCCTGAAATAATAGAAAACCGAGTTAAATCAAAAATTAAAAAAAAAAGTATAAACTTACCACAAATTCCGCCTCTTTCATTAAAAACTCTAACTACTTATATGGTTTTGTATTTGAGAAAAGTTGTTCGCGCAATTCGATTCGACATTTTATTTCTTTTGACTTTTATTGCATAGATAACTTGGTTCGAGAGAGACTCGCATTTTTTATAACATTTTCCAATGACGCCACCGCTGAAAAATATTAACTTGGGTAGTTTATAAACAACTTTGGATATTTTGCAGTTTCCACACCACCGATATTATATTATTATTCACATGAAAACAAATTAAATAATAATATTAATTGACAATATTTCATAACAGTAAGCAAAAAGATAAATATTTCAAAAAGAAATATATTCAATATACATATGTATATAATATTAAGAGACAAAAAAAAAAACAGAAACAAGGCTTTAAAAAAATTCCGTAACATTAAAAAAAATTATACAGTTTGCCACGCTATCCTACAGATGAGAAATACAAAGAACTTTAGTTCTAAAATTGGGCCTGCTAAAATTTCTATTAAAAAACTGTACGAGGAAGAATATTCTCGTCCAGACAAGAAGAGTTAAAACAACATTCCAGTCACAGTTGTTGCAGCAGAGAAAGGGTCTGACATGCTTCATTCTATCGAATAAAATTTGGCCTTCTCTATTCTGTGACAGGTGGATTCAAATTCTGTATTAAAAATATCTTCTTAAATCTTTGTACAAGTGTGTGTCTTAAAAACTTTTAAATAAAGATAACCGCAAAAGTATGCATATACATTTGCTTCAAGAAAATCTACTTCTACATCCTCTAATTCTATCTGATTAAATTCATGTTCTGGTCGAGGTAAGCCTTGAAATTCTTGCCAAGATAAATCTGGAACTAAATTATCATTGCACACACTTTGGAGAATTTGGTGTGATAAGTCTGGAAAAAAATGTTCATTCGCAGTTTCAATTTATTACTACAGTCATCGACTGATACCCAAAGCGAACGGTTGTGTTTTGTGCTATTAGTGGTTTTTTCTTTTCTATTCCCTCTCACCCTTTTCGTAAGTGCATTCTAACATTAAGAACTTTCATTTAAAGCACGTGTAAAAGAGTGTATATATTATAGTACAGTGAACAACAAGAAACATGCCTCCAGGGGGTCACTCCCTTGGTGATAACAGGTTCTCCCTGTTATCAACAAGTCCCAAATCAAAAAGAAAAAAATTCAATTTCCCAATAACGATTTCCCAAGCCTTACCCCAACAACAAAAGATAACCCAAGATATTTAGTGCTAASTGCAACGAACTCTCAGAAACCCATAAACAAATATTCGTGTTTTGCTGTGCACAAAGCGTTAAAAAATATAAGCACAGAAATAATAAATATATCAGAACTAAGAGACGGAAAACTTTTATTACTAGTAAAAAACAACAACATAGCTCAAAAATTCATATCTACGAAAACTTTATATGGCATATGGGATGTAGAAATAAAACTCTACAACAACCTTAACTACTCAAAAGGAACATTTTACGCACCATGCCTCAATGAAATCTCAGACGACGAAATCATTGAACACTTAAAAGCACAGGGAGTTGTATGAATTTTCAAATTCCCTAAATACATTAATCAAAAACCAGTACCTAGCGGAGTCGTTCTCCTGACCTTTGATAAATATCACCTACCTGAAAAAATTTAAGTATCATGGTACACAACTAAGGTAAGGCCATACCATCCAAACCATATGGGGTGCAAAAACTGCCAACTTTTAGGACATACAACTAAGCGATGTTCTAAAGCCGCTGTTTGCGACAAATGCGCTCTCCCCCCTCACCAACCATCCCCTTGTACTCGTTCCTTTTGCATAAACTGTTCAGGTAACCACTCATCTTCTGACAAAATATGTCCCAAATTTATACAAATGAAACAAATAATAACCATAAAAACAGACAAAAAGTGCTCCATGCGAGAAGCGATAAAAATACGAAAAACCCAATTTACTCCTRCACTCAATGAAAACTCTGCTACATTCGCTAGTATAGCAAAAAATACGACCAACAACTTAAATGAAAATAACAAACTCTCACAAATCTCTTCTACATAAAATACTCCTTCAATAACAACAATATGAATAACGAAACACAAGAAAAAGAAACAAACGAAAACAATTATACCTCAGCAAATCTAACAAATACAACAACAACAGGATCAGCCGATGACTCTCAAACCCACGCAATGATCTCATCATTGCTGCTTTACAAGAGACGCATTCCCCCGCTAATGAGATAGCGTATTCTCCTAAAAACTACACAAGTTACATTTCTAATAGCAATCAAAACACTTCCTGCAAGCAAGGCATGCCAATTCCCGTTAAAAACTCCATCAACCGTAAACTCAGCCCGGTCACTTCTGGCATTTCCTGCTTGGCGTTGGAAATTCACATAGGCTTCAAAATCACTATTGTCAATTGCTACATTCCGCCTCATCAGAACTTTACTAATAGGGACCTTAGTAATATCATCGACACTGTTTCTGCCCCAATTGTTTTGTTAGGCGATTTTAATGCTTGGAGCCCGCCGTGGGGCTCTCCTGCTAGTAATAAAAGAGGAGAAATCATTGAGGATATAATACTTTCTCACAACCTAGTCGTCCTTAACGATGGATCACCCACTCACTTCTCCAC